AATCCAACCCCATATTCTGTTCCTGACGATATTAATGACTAATATATATTATTTTTCAAGTCAGTACTTAAGTAATGCTACTACTTCTTACTCTGTCTAGAAATAAGCGCATAATAAGCAAAGTCTAGAAAATTGATGAAACTGAATCGTACTTTAAGAGCAAAATATGCTATATTTCGTTTCACATTTATTCAACTAATTCACGTCGTAAATTGAATTGAACAAATGAACCGTCTGATATTAAAAATGTTCCTGCAATACAACAATGAATATAAACAACGGTTAAGGACAAAACATATTTACCGATCAATTTGAAAATTCGATTAATGAAAAAAAACTAGAAATTATATATCAAATTTGCAGAGTATCAACCCAAACACATCTATAGATAATTCTATATACAAAATATGGAAAAGTAAAAAAAATACAACAAAAATAACGAAGCCACTTCAATACATGAATGGTTCAGGTATTTAACACATGATATCTCCACAAATGATCGTAATCAATTTACATGTTTCATTTGTAGCATATGAGAATCGAAAATATGCATGATGTTTAGAGATATAGCAAGTAAAAATTTCAAGAGAAGGCTCTACATCTAGCAAAAATTTTTGACACGTGTTCCCCACTCCCTTCAACATCACTTTATTCATGTTTTTCTTTGCACAACATAATGCTGAATCTTACAGATTTAGTAGAAATAAACAGTAAATTAAAAATAGGGTTGCACAAAAACATCATTACAAAAATTAAAGAAAAAAGAGAGACAAAGAGAAACAAAAATAGACATAACCGCCATTTTTTGTTAACTACGTGCTTTTTTCTCATTCCAAAACCTATCTCTGAGACAATTAGTTTACAACTTTTCTTTGAAAGGACGGATGAATCACAGTTCTGAAAAGGCTAACTTCACTTTCGAAATGAAAGAAACAAAGAATAAATTACTAAACTATGCATGATCTTTCTTCAGTGACTGTGTTAGTGCGATATTACAGACATCAACCTCATCAGCTACCTTCAGCTCATTGAACTTTTCATATAACCGTAGAGATAAACGTGCGAGATCAATAACATCCGTCCTTTCTTCTTCAACGGACTCTCCTGCAAGGTACATGAAACATGGATTGATTGATTTTCTTGAACTTACAACGTTTAAGAAAAACAAACACTACTTTTCAACATTATGAATGTTTCCCATTTTTATAAAATTAGAAATTCAATAGAAAAGCTTGCCATAAAAATGCTGAGATAAAGCATTCAAAGATAGAGAACGCTTAAATGACGACTGAGAGAGTGATACAATATCTTTCATTTGCTCTTTTGGAACCTATAAAGTTATCAGGACAGATTTCTCATGTATCGTTCAATTTAAAAACTAATATTATTAGATTTCCTTAACATGGCAATAACTGTTATTTCAAAATACAATGGAGTAATTAGTTTTTCTATGATCCTGTTCTACTCTGGCAGGATGCTACATGAAAACTGGCCCCTAATATATCAAATATTAATTCAAAAATTTCTTCATTCTCGTTAAAAATTAAGAACGTGAAATACTTACATAAATATTTAATATTTCAAACAATTCATTTATTTTATAGCCAATAATAGTCACATTTTCTTGTACTAAATATAGAAGTTTCAAGGACAATCTTTTGAGCGAGAGAAGACTATTCCCATCAACAACAACTCCCATTCTTTTAGCTCTGCTATTAATGAAGCAGTTATCATTTTCATCGATTCCACAGACTTCATACACTAATTTTTCACCAATCTAAAATGAAACAGTACGCAGCATTCCTCTTTTTTTTTAATAAAATCAATTCCGTCCCCTTTTTCACTTAACCATATTATTAATGACGATCTCTGCAAATGTTTAAGCTTCTAAAAACATTGATAGATAATATCAATATAGCTGTCCATTAAAGATATAGAAACAATAATTGAAGAATACCTGGCTAAACACATATTTCGCATGAATTACAACTTTACTTTCTTTTTCCGGTATTTTTATTTTGTTTGAGTCAAAATCGTTCCAAAATACTGACTTTGGAATAACAGCACGTTTCTCAATCTCAGCAGCTGAAAAAAATTGTTCTAGACACGCGAACACTCAATATTATCAATCCCGTAGAAAATAATCCGCTACCTTCTTTGTCATTAGTTTTTCCGGATTGCTCAAAATACAAAATAACTGGCACCTTCCATGAAGCATCCAAATGTAATGCTTCATGTTTAGAGATTTGCGTTACAGACCAATGATTAAACAATTTCCACTGATTATCCTATAACACAGAGTCAGAATAAGTACATAATTAAACATTATGAATATGAAGAACTAAATAAAATAAAAATACTTTACTTGTTGAGTTCTGACTGCGGTAACCAAGTGTTCTTTTGATTCTCTTTCTTCAGCCTGCGTTATGAGAAATGTGGCGGCTCTCAACTGATAGGATGTGCTTTTTCCACTTTTATGCTGAATTTTTCTAACATGTGACATCAGAGTAACAAATAAATAAAAATACAGAAACATGATAATGACATAAAGATACAGTTGATTTCTAAGAGAGTACATACGAATCGAATCCTTTTCATTTTCCATATTAGCAATCGTTTTTATGCAACACAAAATCTGAAAACGCCTATTTATTCTAAAAACAGTTTTGAATTCTAAACATAATTACTTCTGAAACGGTGCAAATTCCATCTGTAAGTTTTATATATAATGAGCTCGGTATAAAATGATGCCATTCTGAATCTGAGACAGTATCATCAAATGTCGAAGCCGCTGTTTCAAGTTTACTGTAAATGAATTGGACACAACCTTTACAAATGCATGATGTTGTTTTAGATAAAAAAAGCTCTTCCAAATACAAGCGAGCTGTTCTAAATATGTCGAGTACATAACGTTCGCGACTTGAAACGCAAATGCTCAGAAAAAATGTTCAAGTTATTTGCCAATCTCTTCTATAAAAATTTTCTTTAAGAATTTACAATTTCATCAAAGTAGGCAAAGTCAACAGTGATAAGTAATGGAGAAATTGAAAACCTATCCTGACTTCACAGTTAATTGAAACGTCATCCACCATTAAAAATTTTTTACTTTATATGCTAAAACAAACGGGTCATCATTATGAATGTATCGACAAGTTGAATTTTTGCACTCATTGCCATATCTACAATATTTCTGTTTCTGTTCCAATACTAAATTCGGTGTCGCTGGAGGGCGAGTTTCGAATTCCTATTTGAACATAAACTTGAAAACAAAGAAATTATAGAAAAATAGTAACCACATGATCCAATAAGGCATTACACACTTTCAAACAATAATTACTAAATTTCGAATATTGCTAGACTTCCGCCGAATGACAAACACTGAGCAAATAGAATGCAGTATTCGCTTACGGCTCCAAGATACTACTAATAGATTTATTTACTTTTGTTCCTTCCATCTTATAAAAATTGATATATATTTAATACTCATTACTGTAACCGAACATAAGCTATGATAACCTGAAGCTGTGAAACCCAAAATACTGGTTCGATTTCTGTACTAGTTGTCAAGTCAACAGCCAAAATGTTAGGCAATATGCGTACACGTCGTGTTGATGCTACGCGTGCCAGTTTTCCACATTTTTGACATATGATTTCATTTTGTTCTGGACAATTAAGCGTTTTTTCTAGTAATTTACAAAATCCAATTTTTTCATTATCTGAAAGAAATAAACATGACTGCCAGTATTATTTTCTTAAATTTAAAATCTCACACCTTCCAAATTTCAATTCAAATTTTAATAAAAATGTGACATTCTATTGATATTCAAAGAATATAAGTACAGTTCTTCACATAATCTTACTTGTTGGATATACAAATGATATATAAAGCTGAGTTAAGGCTGACTGATAGTGTTCAGCACATCGGAAACAACGATTAGTCAAAATAAAAGAGATCTCTAATTCTCTGCGAAGAGTCACTCCGGCAGCAGTTTCAGAAAGTTCCTGTTCAAACAAGCATACTTCTCAAATCTCAGAAAAAGTGAAATACGTAGATGAAGAATCTACCGTATAGATAACGATAAACACTTTGTTTATCACTCATTATTTATCATTTCCTTAACAATAAATAGACGAAGTACAAACTATATTATATACTTGAATCAAAGTGTTACAAACCTTGTCGAGTACTTTGCTAAAAACTTGCATAAATAGGTGTACTGACTCGGATAAATTTGTATTTGCAGTGGCATCGACCCATTTTTTACCATCATTGATAGATCGAAAGGTTTTCATAAAGTTTTTTGCCTGAAATGGCATTAGTCAAAATTTTGAGTAGAATTTCCACTGATATTGATAATTTTTAATGTCTGGAACTAACATTTTTGTACTTTTAACGAATCTTTAAGATTTTTATCTTCCACTAATTAAATAGTGAAGTGTCTAGCACGTATTTTCATTATTTAGCTACCTCCATCATTAATCAGTAACATTCATTTAGCATGATTCACTTTAACACCAGTAATTTCATGAAACTCATTTAAAATACCCACCGACACAACACTTGGTACAGGTCGGTCTGTAAGTAAACGAAACAAAAGATTGATTTCACACGAAATGCAACCTTCAACGTAACATAAGTGTGACAAGAAAACACTTCTTAAACTTATCAGATGATACATTGCCTGAAATAAAAATAAGATTAAAATGACTAAATCTACTGGTGAACAAAACTTGTGTGATACTGATATTCAAATGTTAATAAATGAAACCATAATAAGAAATATAGAACCATCTTATCTCAAGTGGATAAAATACCACACAATTAAAAACCGTAATATATTATGAGGCAACTAAATTTTGTAACTCCTATCGATTTCTAAATTTTTATATATGATAAAAACGTTTTTAACAATCAAAGTAATCAAAAATGTTAATGAAATTCAAATAAAGAAAATAATTACAAGTAAAATCATGTTTGCAGGGCTGGAAAGTGTACTATATTCTAGTGTATTAAACGCTGTGCGATTATATCGCTTAGAATCGATTTCATCAGCTTTAGAGACTTGACGTCCTTCAGCAAGCAAGTAAAACTTTGGAATACGAAACAATCCATCATTTTTTATGACTTAAAAAACTTGTTACTTTTTATGACGGATATATAATTATCACTTTTTGCCAAAAATAATTTTAAAAAAAAACAATTGACAAATGGCGTGGAAAATGAAAAAGAGAATAAATTAAGATGGAATGATTGAACAATGTCAAATCAATAGCATGACTGATTTTGGCAGCCACAAATTAAGGTCAAATTTCTGTGATATTAATAATTTGATTTGATAAATAGAATTTACTACCTGAAACAGATTTATCATGAGAAGAGCTTGTATATGGACAAACATTAAAACCGCGTAATTTTGTACTAGCGCGAGGATTGTGAGCATATCCAACAAATTGCACCATACGCATTGACTCGATTACTTTAAGCGGTATCGGATCAGGCTGTCTTCAGTAGAAAAAGAGACAGCTAGCTTCATGAGAAAAATTTTAATTCAAAAAATTTCTATTAAAGAAAAAAATTTGATTTAGAAAATTTCTATTTCATTTTAAAAATTTTTAAACTTATTTAAAGTAATTTTTAATTTTTATCAATTTCTATTAAGGAAACCATAACAGCATGATCTCCAATAATTTAGCTCCAGAAATTATTATGATTTTTATTCTAATATTATCAGAGTAAACCTGAATCGTCTAACGCACAACTGTTCGGGCCAGTCTGAAGCATAATGATCATCAGTTGGAAAAGGAAGCGGAAAAACCCCATATGATGGTTCTGGATCATCAATGTTCACCGGTGGATGGATCGATACCTGAAAAGCAGCATCCAAGACGAAACTGCATGGTGAAGAAGACGCGTAATAAATGATATCCCATTCAGTTTTAAAGTTAATCCATCTAAAACACTACTGTTTACTTCTACTGAATGAATATTCCTTTGGTAAAAATACAAAGAAACATATGCCAGAAGGAGTTGTTACAAACTACTAACCGGATCTGGAAATTCTGTTCCCCACGAATTGTCATTGAAAATCGGTTCCATGCGATCCGAGAAAAGATGTATGAAACCTGGATCAATTTCTAATGATCCAATAACAAACGGCGAACATATTTGAAATCAAGACACAGAGCTGCTATTTTATTTCTGTTTTTTTTTTGTTTTTTAGTGGATGAAAAGTCTTTGACCACGATAGCAAGATAAAAATGATAAATCGATTTCTAAAAGGAATAGAAGCATTTTCAAAATCATGATTCGCTCTCCATTTTTCGGATATGATTTTAAAGGCTATGTAATTATTCATATTTCATCAAAAAAGACATTTTTAATTATTTACCTAAGTAAGCAATGTTTCAAAATATATTAAAATACAGATACATCGCAGTGTCCTTATAAAATTGAGAGTAAAACTGCTTTTTAAGATAACTCATGCAACCTAACATGAAACTGACTACGTAGCCTTTAGAATCATGAAACTGATACCTGTTTGATCGCCAAAGGAAATGCATTGCTTTGAAGAAGATACATCAAGAGCTGTGATGGCAAAACCGTTCGTATCAAGCTGAATAGGTATTTGGGTCGACTGCTCATTTAAATCCATCACTATGAATTCACCGATCTAAAAACCACTTCGCTACTTCAGATCCAACACTTTGCCAGAATCTCGATCATACTTATTTTCATACAGGACATTTCATAAAAGTTATTTTCAAAAACGAAGCAACGGACATCTAAAACAGAGAAAGTTGAATACCTGAGAACAGACCATAATTCGACCATCAGAATAAGAAGGCAGAAATCGGCAATATGATGGTGCCATTGGCAAGGGTACTGGAGGCAAACTCCGTAATGTTCTCATATCGTAAATCATAATGAATCTATCACCAGTCATTTTGCCCAATCTTTAATGTTTATCCATCATTTGACGAATACTTTAAAAATTACAATATCGTCTAGGTTCGCAATTTCCTAGCAGGTTAGAAAATATAGTAATCTGACAGTTCTCGCAAAAATAATAACCTTCACAATTCTTGCAGAGCGATACAAAAAAACTAGTACGTAACAATTTTCTTAAATAACAAATACAGCAGGGAACTAATATGTAATCTTATTTCTGACCAGAAGAAAAGAGTGAGTAAATTATATGCATTGAATTTTTTTGAGAAGTTGGAACCTGGGAGAAAAGCCACACGTGATAAGTTTATTGCCACAAACATCGAAATCTGCTACTGCTCCTTGATGAGCTTGTAATGCATGGATAGGATCTACAGAAGTAAGGTGTCGAAGAGTTACCTGAAAGGAAGGAGACTTCGCAAGACAAATCGAGAATTAACTTATCATCTGCTTCTCGCTTATAAAAGCATATGATATCTTACAAAGACAAATGCACATTAAAATTTACGTTTCCTTCAGAATCAGAACTAAACAAAAATTTCTGATTTGATCGTAAAGCCAAACAATTCTTCTGTTTAACAGAGACCTGAAACTAACGACAGATAACCTTCGGAAAAATAAAAAGCAAAAACTATATTTGTTATTTTTTATTATCAGCAAAAACTTTCTTGCTCAACTATATAATACCTCTTACTTCAAAAACGCATGATTTCATACTCACTTTTTAGTCCAAGTTTCAGCTATAATTACATTTTTGGGCGCGAAATACTTTCTTATTTAACTCAGCGAAAAAAACGATTCAATAATGGAGATGAAAACAAACAATTCTGATCTCCTTCTGCGTTTCCAGATCGAACTGAATTATTTGTTGTTGATTTCCACCAAGCAAAAGTTTATGTGGAACATCTGGAAGCCGATGCATACAAGTCAGATCAGTCATATGGTCAGATCTGAAAGTATATAAATCTTCAAAAATACACTTTGTTTCCGACACTATCCTAATGAAACTTATTTGTGAGATAATAATAAACTAAAGAATAAAATATCGATGCTCATACGTATGTGTGAATAACGAGATGCCTTGCCGTCGATCAGCTTTTAGATGTTTTTGAGTTAGTGAGAAAACAGCAGTTTCTGAAGCAAGTAAAGCGCGAACGTCCGAATTAGTTGCTGATAAAAATGCCGTATATTTTTCAAGCTCTGCGCCATAAAATGACACGACGCGTCCCTAAAAAGTATAAAGTCAACATATCTAGTGCAATTTTAAAATTGCATGATTTCATTTTACTTGTACAATACAAGTATAAAATTCCTGAATAGGCTGACTAGTTTCTATTAATCAAGAGCACAAGTGAAAATCTTAGAAGCCTGATACTGATGGATATGATCAGAAACAAAAACTAACACTGCAGTACTGTAATTATTCTTAGAAAGACAAAATCCAAACTAACGTAATTATTTATCTTAAGATGAATTTGAAACCATCAGATAAGTAGAACTTTAGTTATTAATCAAGGAATGTAAATCATAGTGCATTAATTTGTTAAAGAATAAAAATTTATTTCAAATCTTTCCATGACTTTTTCCTATCAAAATGAATTCTTGACATCAAATAAATCCTATTAATTTGAATACCATGCTATTTCCAGTCCAAAGAAGTTCTTGATAAGGATCAAAGGTAAGAGCAGTAATAACATGAGCTAAGGAAGCATTTTGCGGTACCGTTGATAGAAGAGCGAAACCACCTTCTGGGATGCGAAGTTCGCTATTCTGCAAGATAGTATTTTTGTGATTCTATACAGTTGATTCATTTCATAGTTTTTCTGAACTCATTTTGTTCTTCTGGGACTAGTTTTCAAAACAATAATTATATTAATATCGACCCGACAAAGAAAGTGAATGAAAAATTTTGTTTGATTCGACATTTTAATGTCGAAAACAAACCAAAGGAGTAAGACCATCTGGCGGTATTATCACATCATGGGAGTGTCCCGGCGACGAACCAAACATTCGCACTTCCTTCTAGCACAAAACTGTTTCAATTATTAATTTATATTCTGAAAACTGATAGTTTTTATACGTTAGTAACAAACTGATTCACGACTTTATTGAAACCACTGAATCAAATAACAATAGCTCTGCGTACATAAAGCAAGCTTGGAAATGCGTAATAATTTATGATGCATTAAAATTAACCACAGAAAATACAAACATTTATTAGCCTATCATTCATATCATTAAACTATTTATGGTATTCAAAAATCTAATCATTTTTTCATTCTCTTCCTCTAACTCCAACCACTGACAATAAATTTCACCAATATTTAAGAATGAAGAGATTTAATTAAGAATGACGCTTAACAAAGATACCATCATAAAAACAGTATTTGAAGATGGACTTCCTCATTCTTCAGCGCATGCCCTAAATCTCATGCCTTCCAGAACCCACTTCTACTCTGTCTAACAAGACACGATTTAACCCTTCATACAACTGCCATCCTACCCATACCCGTAATCCTACTCACCGATTCATTCAAGCTGATTTTACTTCTAACTTCAGAACTCATTTGTCTACGGGTTGGGTGATGAGTAGCTAAATAATCAATATGAATTATTGCTTTTGCACTTTTCCCATTCTTCCCATTCTTGCGCGAAAATGTACTGCGCAGCAATTAATGCCTCATGTAGTTCATCTCTCTCTCTAGATCTTTGAATAGGTTTGAAGTTAACATTGAAAATATATTTTCTATTTTCTTTTATTATTTCCAGTTATTTCGTCAGAAGAATTTTACGTTTAATAGATAACTTCCACGTACGTAAACCCTCTTTTCCTTTGTAGAAAAATTAGTTCTATTTCATCTTCTACCACATGTATTTCTTTGTCATATTGCAATACTTTTATGTATGGTTAAGAGAGTTTGAACTATTTATTGATATGAAATTTACGATTACAAATGCAAAGCTGTATATCACTTCTATCTAGACTACAGTAATGAAACTGTCTCTTACACGCAGTTCTATCTAGTCGACTGTAGAATTCCTTACTTTTACAGTCTGAATTAGGTGTAACATAAAGTATACAAATTTTAGTTCTTAATACATTAGCTTCATTCAGTAAGGTTATTTATTGTAAGAGAATAGTTTCAGACAGCTGAAACTATTCTGTCGTCTAGTAATGATTTAATCGAAATACTCGTTTCTTTGGCATTCTATGCGTTCTTCTCGAATATCTGTGATCAGTGTTTTGTTTCGTGATTGATTATATTCTGGCATATTGTACAAATGCAAGATTAACCTTATTTGTTCACAAAGGCTATATTTATAACTTACATACTTTAATGTATTGTTATATAATTTTTTTAAATATATGTTGTATAAAAAAAGCACTGTGTCATTTAGCTCAATCAGTTGAACGTTTTTTGCCAAACCACTTTTTAGTTTTTCGTTAGAAAGTGATCGTGAGATGAGCTTGATTAGAAGCCTTACGTGAACTGTTCGTTTTGTCGACAGAAATGTAATATACAAGCAAAGAATTTCAAACAGTAATTGTAGAAATTAATTATGAAGACATAAGTGAAGTGACTGATATATAAGAATGAAATAAAATGAATAAAGCAAGGATTAAAATTTACTTACTCAGATCAGAAGTGATTACGTTAATCAGTTATATTTTTAGCTAGAACTGAGATTAATGGCGTAAATCTACAGAATGTAATGGTTGTTGCTCATTGAACTTCACAAAAAATATTAACTCGTTTGCTTATGTATCTATCAATCAGTGTTTTGAGAGTGGAGCAAGAAGGAGTAGCAAGACTGATAAATGGATACGAGTTAAATGCATGATTATACTCAGCCTGATAATAGATTTTTCTACCTTAATAGAAACATATCTCTTCTACATATCACAATTAAAAAATACGTGGAATGTCATATAGTTTACTAGATCACGTGTGATTAAGAAAAATTTAGTGTATGAAGATGTACTATCAGTTTCACTTAGAAGGGTGATAATAGGCAGATAATAAATACTGATAGCAGCGAGAGCGTTTGCTTCGTGTATTGTTAGACAGATTGCTTTACTACATATGAGAGTGAAATGCTATTTAAACGCTGCTGTGCTGTAATGATATTCATCTGACGTGCGTGTGTTTATGAGTAATTGATTGAGAGAGTCTATGGCAGCTGTAAGTGTAAGTAATTGCCAATTGTTAGTAGTGTAGCAGCTTCGAGCTTCGCAAACAGTTTCGGAAAGCTTTTTCTTCCGTGCACTTCGCCCACGTACATGAGCTGTATTGCTTTCTGTTACACATCGCTATCTACTCTTCCTACTTGTTGATTGTAACTAATCTTTGCTATTCATAATGGTACTTTACGTTTTTAACTCACTTTCTTTTTCTTACTCTTGCAGTTTTATGATCATTCAAATCAATCTTAGCTAATACTTTGAATCAAGACGCAGTTTACTTGATCATTTCACTTCTCAATTCAACGCTTCGATTAAAAATGGATTATTGCTTTGTGGAGGAAGAATTATTAAACAAAACTGTAGATTAATAGTAATCAGATTAAATGCAAGAACATCATTAACTTGGCTTTTGTTGACTATAACCTTATCTGCTTAATCTCTCTTTATTTTATCTGACATCAAGTAAAGCTTGTCATAAAAATATCCTCAGATCTTTCAAATTGAAAGCCTACGAAGCTAAAAACTAACGAAATATAGTTTTGCTTGGTCTTGTTTGATAAACTTATTATTATGATTTACTGAAATATTTCAAGTGCGAGTATGCAATGTAAACATAATTTTGTTTGATTAACTTATGCCTGCATTCTTTGACTACTATTCATCCCACTTGGAAGTTAGATCATATATGAAACAACGGTGTGCACTGCATTCGCCATTAGTCTGAATATACTGATTCAAAATGATTTGTGCACAATGCTTATCTGCTTTCAAGCACATAGAAAATTATTCTGCTAGTGCCACTGTTGTAGTCGTTATTTAGCTATTTTTACTTGTTTGATTTATTAAAAAATTAAATTTGATAGTTTTTCAGTGATTTTTTTTCGGCATTTTGGCTACAAACAAAAATTTGCCGTGCCTTTTGCACGGTCCACTGTGCCTCATATTAAATTTTGCGCTTGCATGCGTGAACAACAGATTATTCAACTCTTCGACTTTTCAAGCAATTTACCTTCTGTAAAGGATGTCTTTGGCAAGTAATTATCATGCTCACAAACCTAATGTACCAATTATTATGGAAGACGTGTTTGGATGGGTGCGAGAGGGTAACACATTTCAAGTGCGAGTATGGCTTGATGATACGGAGCACGACCTTAATATTGGGTACTTTATTTTGTCATTTCTCTAATGATGAAGTAGACATGATCCAGCATTATTATCTCAAAAGTTTTGCTAAAGTAATTCAGTTTTTTTATTTTTTCAAATTCATGTTCACAATATTATTAGCTGAGTTTGAAAATTAGTGCAACTGTATTTACTTGTCATTTTATGGAGGCGTTATTTTTTGTTGATTTTGTTCCCATAGAATTTATTTTCTATGTCTCTCGAAACTTTATAATTTTTTGGCAACTTCATTTCTTATTTTGCAGTGATGATCACGCTTTTTCATTGCTTCACTGGGCATCTAAAGAAGGCCATCTTACAATTGTTGAATTATTGCTTTCACGTGGAGCGCGTGTAAATGCTACAAATATGGGTGACGACACAAGTTTACATCTCTCTGCCGCTCATGGCCATCGTGATATTGTCGTTGTTCGTTGCTGCAATTTTCGTACTGAGTGATTCTCAGCATTTCCGTCACAATCTTTCATTGAAACCTTGATTTTTTATTATTCAGCTGAAGACAACCGTTATCATAATAATAGTGCATTACTTATGTTTCTTTTATTTGCTTTCTTTATCTTGCGCAAAATTACTTTTGATGATTTTCAGAAGTTACTGAATCGAAAAGCAGATGTGAATGTCGTAAATGAACATGGAATGACACCTCTTCATTATGCATGCTTTTGGGGTTATGTTCAGATCTGTGAGGTAAAGTAGTCGCTTAATTGCTCAAAAAATTTTTATATTTTTTATCCAAATTCATCTTACAAGTTTCATTATCGTAATAAGTAAAGCTGCAGAAAAACTTTATGCTATTTTATAACCTTGATTTAGGTGCTGTTATAAACTTCACTATATCTTGTGTTAAATTAAAATTAAAATTTAGCATTTACTTTGTGATTGTTAGGACCTTATCCGAAGTGGAGCTTTAGTAGGATCCTGCAATAAGAAAGGACAAACTCCACTTGATGTCTGTCAGCCACAAGTTCGAAATGCAATAATGGGTTTGTCGATTGATGATTTGTTTTGATTGAATAGTTTGTATTTACAATTGTAGTCTGAAGAAATGACATTATGTTTGGCTCTGTTGATTTTGTCGATCCAGTATAAACTATCCATGTTCGAACTTGTTTTTTAAAGCTTTTGGAGTCTGTATTTATGATTGTGCTATACAGTCATCTTTTCAGAGATTGCACATCAACACGGACAAAATGTCAATGAAAGGATACCATTTAAAGATCAGACTTGGAAAGGTACGAAAACCCGGACAAGAGATGCCACACTTTCTAGGTTATTTTACTCAGATTAAGATTTTAGCATCTATACTTCTCCGTTATATATAATGTGATTTTTCCATTTTTGTTTATTAATAATAGCTTGAGAACACCAAATGCTATGAAAGTAATAGATTCCAGAATATTTTTAGGTATACGGGTGTCGATATTTCGTCTCTGAGCTTATCAGTAAAAATAGCTGAATCTCACAGCGGTGAACTGTGGCGTGGAAAATGGCAAGGAAACGATGTTGTTGCTCGAATTTTGGCGCTATCTGAAGTAACTTCTCGTATAAGTCGTGACTTTCAAGCTGAGTTTCCATCATTAAGGTATATCTCTGTAATTATTTTCAGTTTATCAAGTTTAAAGTGTGGCTATTTGTGCTACTATTTCCGCTATCAAATTACTTTTTAAAAATTAAATTGTTATCTGTCTTTAATCGTACCATTTTTTATTGCTCTTATAAAAATCAATTATTAACATTTAAGTTCATTTTTACTCAGGATATTTGCTCATTCAAATGTATGTCCTGTGCTTGCGTGTTGCAATCAACCTCCAAATCTCGTAGTTATTAGTCAACTAATGTCATTTGGATCTCTTTACAATGTACTTCATGAACAGACAGGTAGGTAGTTGTGACTTAAAGTCTTCTGTAGGTTTAATTTTAACTTACAGTTTCAGACTGTACAATCGTGGGCAAGTTGTTTGAAATTCATTTTAATTACAGTACAAAGTCTTAACCTCTAGCGCTGTAATTTTTTCTAGTATACTAGTTGTGTGTACCAAATTTATAGTTTTAAAATGCAGATTTACAGCGATTGTTATCGATCAAGCACAAGCGACCAAATTTGCTCTGGACATAGCTCGTGGCATGTCATTTCTTCATTCGCTAGATCCGATGATTTTAAGATACTACTTGAGTTCAAAGCATGTTGTAGTTGACGAAGATCTTGTGGCAAAAATATCAATGGCGGATACGAAATTCAGTTTTCAGGAAATTGGACGATTGTACTCCCCAGCATGGATGTCACCAGAAGGTAAAATTTTATTTATTCTTTTTACTTGCATTAGTGCAATATTTTATAAATAAAATAAGAGAAGTTTTGTATTTTTGCATATTTCTATGTAATTCAGGGAAAATGTTACTAATGGAGAGTTGGCATTTGAGGATCGATTAGAAAGGCAGAAAATACAAATTTTTTCCTCATTGAAAAAATAAAACTGACGTATGATCTTATCTATTATAGCACTTAAGCATGCACCAACGGATTTGAATGTTCGCGCAGCTGATATGTGGAGCTTCGGTATATTGTTATGGGAACTGAATACAAGAGAAGTGCCATTCTCAGATCTTTCTCCAATGGAAGTTGGAATAAAGGTTTATGTTTAGACTGATAGTAAATGTGATCTTATTCTGAAGTTGAATTGTTAAAAATAGTATGTAAGCCCAGTCAGATATTTTTTTTTACTTCAAAAAGTTTTATCCTTTCATTCTATGTTAGAAAACACAAAGTTGAGTTTAGATCATAATTTATGTATGTTAAAAAGGTGCAGGCAAAATACATTTTATTATTTAATGATATCTCTTGTTGTTGAGAATTAATCGAAATTTAGTTTGAACATCTATCCAGCATAAAAAAGTTACATGAAAGTGGATTTGCTTTTTGGGTCAGGGGGCTTTGAGGTGGTAATAAGTAACATGCTTTTTAATTTTAATTGATTATGTCATTTTAACAACTTTGTAAATTTCAATTGTCTGGTTTTACAGGTTGCGCTAGAGGGACTTCGTGTACCATTTCCACCAGGAATATCACGAAACATGGGGCGCTTGATGAACATTTGTTTGAATGAAGATCCTGGTCGACGGCCGAATTTCGATCAGATAATACCAATATTAGAAAAAATGGTGCACTCCTAATTTAACTCATTTGTAATTTTAATCGGAATGTGTCTTGAACAGCAATTACTTAAAAATAACGCTACAATTTTTGAAAGCATGCTTGATATGCATTAGTGAGCATTGAAATGTGGCTTTGCTCAGGTAATTTAATAAGTAATCATATTTTTGCTGAAAACGTAATTGTGCTTCTAAAGAAACATACTTTGTAATATTTTAAAAGTATATTTGTGTCTCAGTACTGTTAACGCTTATTAACTTATAATTCTTGTGTCCCACTTCATGATTATTACAAAGTGCTTATGTTGAAGTGGAAGTTTTGTAATTTTCAAGATTTTGTTACTTTTCCATTTTCTCTCTACTGCCTTTTTATGTTCAGTTTTTTGCATATTCTGTATTTAGAAACAAGATAGATAAAATTTTGATTACGATGAAACTGTCCTTGATTTGGATGAGGTACGGTGTGTAAGAAAATTACGAGAAATTTATGTAGTTGGTCATTTGTCCCAGTAATAAATGTACCATTTTTAAGCAAGAAATGGTAAAGCAAACGTTACTTTTATGCAAAGACTTGAGAAGACATTATGGGATCGAATTGTGCAGATTTTTCTACTTCCTGGCATTTATTTACATCATAAGTATGAGCAGTAGACGTTGCGTTAACAGTTGACTATAACTTATGGTATTTAATAATTATGTGGTTTGACTTAGTTGTGAATTGCTTATCACGTTGTATCACTTGACAGACTTGTAAAATTGAGCAAGAACAAACAAATGGCTATGAATGACGTGAGAAAACTAGTGATGTAGCTTTTAAGGATACTGACGTGAGCAGTTCGTGCTAAGGCATACTCGAGCTAGAAATAGAAACTTTACTGAGCTTAATGAGCAATAATATGTACATTTGTAATTATTTATTATATGCGTGCATACGTATGTTATATGCATGTGTACATTGAAGGGAAAATTCATTCATGCGTATGGTTATCGTTGATTTAGAATATTGCTCTTACTCAAACTTCTTACAAAGAATTCATTGCAAGAGAAGCATGACTGAGAGCTTATGCATTGCAGGGTATTAGTTGCATTATTGAAAGCTTACTTTTTTCATATTTAAGTATAAATAAGTTAGCCTATCAGTATATTTCTTAAAATATGAATGTGATCTGTAGCAATAGGCAATTGTTTGTTAGCTTTTCTTGAAGCTTTGCTTAGACACATCGTTTGTTATTCTTTTCTTATGCAACTATTTCAAGCGCAAAATTTGACAAATGTTAAAGTAAAGATTTGCATCGGTACTCAGATGTAGCACAATAATCGGTGGTCTTATTTGTAATTATCTTGATAGTGTAGCTTGAGCTTGAAGTACGTTTGCATTTTACATTTTGATGCTAGATTTGTACAAGTAATAACTTTTTGTACATGAATGAATTTTGTAAAATTAGTCTGTAGACATGTTTCTGCTTTCAACTTTTATCAAATAATTTTCAGTTCTCCTGAGATAAAGTTGAGTATATAATAAATGTAATTTTTGTAACCAGTTTCAGCTATGACCGAATCTTGGACGAAATTGCAGTATTTCTGATGCATGCAAAAAAAGAATCAACCTGAACTTGAGATTCATATGGTAAGATTTTCCTGCACTTCCTTATTGGTATGGATAGCAGTGTAAGACAAAAAAAAAAAGTAAAAATTGGAAAATCATCATCACAAGTATTGATGAAGATCAGTTTGCAAATTTATTTTAAATCGAAAATGTAAGAACAAAATAGTAGTGCAAAAATTATTATTAGCTTTAGAGTTTAGATTTTATTTTCAGCACTTGTGTATAACTTGGAAAAATGCCGTTTCTGAAAGTTGATTTTCATTCACACGATTCAAATGATTATATTCAACGACATGTACATGCTCAGGTACATTTTTGACGCTAAACTGATTGCATTTCATACCGCGTTGTTTAGGTTTTTCAGAAGTAAATTTTTGCTCCGTTATTAAAACTTATATCTGTCCTTCAGAAGCCAATTGGCTTACTTTAAATTCTTCCACGTAGTCGTTCAGATAGATAAATTGCTTAAGCAACTAATTTTCTACTCAAATTCTTTACCTCAAACTTCAGTTAATAACTTTTATTTTTTTAAACTTCTCATTTTGTTTTAAGTTTGTTCGCTTTTTCCGGCCAGTACATATACTGCTTGCTTTTCTTTGCTGCCGAATCCCTTGCATGAGACAAAGAAATAGAAGACGGCGTTGGATCTCTGAATGTCATAAAGTTCTAACTATAATTTTCTTAGTACTTCTTCTGCTTATTACAGTTTTACAATTTTGGTACGGTATGCATCACAACTCAACTTCAATTGTGTAAGTAATATGATATTACATTTGGTCTTATGGCTGGTTTTAGTTGCTTCTCTCATACTTAACTACTCTAACAAGTCAATATTGCTATGTGTTGTCTTAGTAGATGATAGTGATTTTATTTTATTACTTAATTAAATTTAAAACATAAATTTGTATTTGTTACTTTTAGCAATCCTCCTCAAGTAATAATAACTATTTTACAACTGCAAGGAGTTTTAAACTTGGTGTTCTTAATTTATTGGGATCGGTATATGGTGGGTGACAAATTGCGGCAACGACTGCAAGATACCACTACTGGCTTTGGTGTTGTGAAGCGGAAGTCATTGCTCAACAATATCCATGTACTACTCAGTTTCTAGCCATATAATGCAATTGCTTACCAAAGTGAAAATAAACATATCTATCATCTATTTTTTATGCTTCAGAGCATTTGTCATCTGAAGCAGTGCCAAATAGACACAAAAAAAAATAAACAAATGGCAGAATCAAATCTTATCATTTTATTTTTGATAAATTAAAGTCAGTAGTCAGTAACCAGTGCTAATTACCTTTTTTGAATCAATGCTGGTTTATACTTTGAATATCTGTTTCTAGCAACCATGTAGAAAAGAATTAAGCTTTAGTAATGCATACACATCTGGCCTTCAGTAAAAGTATGAAAGTGAGAAAAAACGCTCCACGTAATTTCTAGAACTAAAAGCAAGTAAAAAGCGTAATTGAAAAGCAAAATTAAATACTGTGATCTAATTTTTTATAAGTAACTTTGAAGGAAGATAATGGTAATAATTATTACTGTCAATGAAAATAAGGATTTCTTCTTAGCTTGGAGCAATTATATGTGGAAGTTTTATCACTATATTGATGGTTACTTATAAAGTTGCACGAATTATTGCCGAAGATTGCTTGTCGATCATGAAAATATCGTTTAACTCTAACTTTTCACAATACTTGCAATGGCTATCCATTAGCATTTTTGTTTACGTGGCATTTACTTATCCTGCCATTTATGCGGAAGTATGCAGTTTTATTAGTATTGTCTGTGCTGAATATCGAGCATTAAATGATGACTTTGTGGATGATTGCAATACTTATCAGCTAGCTGTTATCAGGCACTATGTTAGGGCTCATTGGAAAATGTCTCAAACGCATGCGCTGTTTATCCGTTCAGTCAGGTAATTTTATGCGTATTTTCATCAAAAAATCACTTTAATCAACAAAAATAAACACTCACAACGATATTAAATGATTCGTTTTTTCATTCTCTTTTGAAATATGTTTGGATCTATATTTGATCCCAAAGTATATTTTGTTAGTTTTTGGAATATTATTTTCTTTCTATGAATTACTCGATTCTTTTTAGCTGTCTTTTTAGTTTTTTAGCTACAGCTATAGCATTAAATCTTTGTTGCAATCAAATCAAAATAAAGTATTTCAGATATTTATGCTTAAAAATACTACTGTTTGTTTTTATACACTCGGACCAAGTATTGTGCTTGTCTGTTCTCACTTAGTCAAAAAAAAGAAAGTTGTAAAACTGGCACATTTTCTAGTGTCTTAAATGTTCATACAGTATAAATTAACACGTAAATAATACTTATTAGTATCTTCGATGAAATTATTACATAATTAAGTAAAAATTCTTTACATTGATTTCGTATTATTTAATATTATTTAAAAAAAAAAATAGTTTATGGATGAGCTTCCATTTGATCACCTCATCCTCTTCGTGCATATTCCTTTACCGATCAGTGTCTAATTCATCGGATCAGTTACTGTCCTTGGAACCAATCGTCCTGACAGTATTAATCTGTACTCTTTTGCTTATTGCGATTGCCATTTTACAAATTATATCCTCCATGATAATATGTTTATTATTTGCTCACAATATCAGTCATTTTCGCTACATACTCGTTGCTCTAATCGCAGGCAGCAGCGTTTTGCAAGAACAAGTAATACAGAATTTTAATATAATAAAGATTCACTTTTTTCTTCTTCAGTCTTGCCATTGTTTTGTTATGCACTGTAGTAGTGATTGCTGTGATTTGCACGGCTCATAAATTTATGAATATTACTGCAATAACTGACTTGGTCTAAGTTAACATTTAATTCGAGTTCATATTTCATATCATTTCAGGTCTGTGAGTTATTAAAATTCATATTTCATATGACCTGAAAGTATTTACAATAGCATGCTTTATATGCCAAACTTTGTCTTCAGGCATATTCTGTAGCAATAGCATATATTAATCATTTATATCGGTATCGTACTGGGATATCGTTCTTTGAAATTACCATCATTGATAAGAAATTCATTGAACAGGTTTGTTTGTTAATAGTAGCTATGCGTAATAATTTTTTCACTGAATTATTAGAAATAAAGTTTTGAAAATAGAGGAAACAATAAACTGCTAGTATTAAGTAAAGAAAAGTTAAGAACAGTAAGTAATGTATGAAATACTGCGGTGCTCATGTAAATTTATATTTAAAAAACAGTTTCAGGTCACGGCATTCATACTCCTTATCTCTGCCATGTACTATTTTAACGATTTTAATAAATATTCAAGCAATGCCTGCAGTAAAACATTGTCATTGCTGAAGGATCTAACCTGAATCTCAGCAGTTGAAACAATGCAATACTTGATTAAATAAATCATTTTTTTGTACAAAATTATATGAACTAAAAATCAAAAGAAATGTACAAATTAATTAACCAGCAATTAGCTTACAAGAAGTTATCACTTATCTAAATTTCAAATATATCTGATAAGTAAAGGAAATCTGATTTTTCAATTTTTGCAGTCTAATATTACAAAACTTTTTGCTTTTCATTTTTCATTGCTTTTGTTTTGTCTGAAATTGTGATTGGAACTGATATTATAATTGTTCTAACAGTTCTGTATATCGAAAAGTTGCTAAATAATAGATGTTCAATTTCTGCAAAAATATTTGTTCTAATGAATATTTAAAATGAACAGAAATTTTTGAACTCTGTTATTGCATCAGTAAATCAAATGTCCCCAAAGCATTATATCCTTGCTTAATAAAATAATAAACTTATAGCTTCTGCTTGATTTCAAAAAGTATCATTCAGGATAACTTTGAAGAGAGAAACATGAATCGAGATTGATAAAAAGCGGTTTTCTTCTGTTTTATGAAAGAACAATATGACTTTGATACTGAGACGAGAAGATACGTCAATGACACGTACAATCAAGAAGAAAAAACTTTGTATTCTGTTGCATTTTCAACTTTCTTTATCTTCAGTGGAATAACAAACTTCACTTCTCTCAAAATACTTATTAAGTTATTGTATTGCTTCAACATTCTACGTGAGTTGTCCATTACGCACTGTGTACAAACTGCGCACACTCTGAAGCGGAAGTGTTTGCTTATGTCTTCAATTGCAAATTCCTGTTATAAACGCTTTGCGTAAATGCTGCTTGATTGATGCAAAAAGACTAATCTGTTTGGATGTATAAACTTTTTATCATTTTAAAAAAAATTAATATTGGACAGCTCAAAATGCTCTATAAAAATAGCACATAAAGTACGATCTCTTATCTATTATCATTTATTTCTTATCATTACTCCCAAATAAAAAGGCTAAATTATTAAAGTTAAATGTGAAGTAACTTCATTTTTTTTTGCAAACAATGCAATCGAAATCAGCACGAACTGATATCTCAGTATGACGTGGAAGTCCACTGCTATGCTACTTTTCTACGCATGCAACCATTAGAATTGCTAATTTTGCTATCAGTACCAATTTCATGAAACGTGCCTGACCAAGTTTTAGCATTCTCGAACTTGCTTCTTTGCCAGATACTACTTAATTTTTACCATACAGTGAAAACTACTTTTAATTTTCAGAACCTCCAAATGACCTTTGCACATGTTCTTCTTATTTTCCAAAAAGCAATATCGAGCTCAGTAGGTTATCTCAGCTTCAAATTTTATGCGTGCATTTATCATTTCATTACATCTTCAATCCATATCTATATATAGTATAGACAGAATGGTGTTAGAAATTGGTGAATACAAATCTTTAAGTTGGCAGTCTGCTTCTGATGAATAAAACGCGAGATTTCATGGTACTACCATCACAAGCACTAGCATACTGTACAGTTCCAGAAACCATCTGTCTGTTTCGTTCGGTGTCATGAAGGTATTAGTAAGATTAACTATATACGGTATATACAGAATGAACGGCATATATAATACACTGACCATATATATACATAAGCATATTAAATATAATTTTTTTTATCCCTGCGAGAAGTGCTTCCGTCTTAATTCCGTCTTAAATAATTCGTGGACGTGGACAATTCCCTGAATTGTCCACGTCCACGAATTATTTCTACGCTTCATGGATGAACGCTGCAGCTAAGAGTACAACGCAAAATAAACTGTAAGTTACTCTATTGATATGCTTCAAAGAGTACTACTGACTTCTACTTTCTACTTTAATCCCACTTTCTTCATTACCTCCCACATTCCCTACCCATAATTCACTTTCCAATGACTGAAACCATCTATTATAGTTGGTCTGTTGCTGTTGCATATCGTTGTGCTTCTCTGATGTTCATAATTTGCACTGAAGTCTGATTGTAAGAGTAAGTGTCATCAGAGGCTTAACATAGTTGCAATCTTTACTTGTGCAGAATTTTGATTAGCAAAGTTTCGTTTGCAGCAAGCAGTAGTTTAGCACTATTTGTGCTATTGCTACGGTGACTGCAAGATTACTTCAAATGTCTGGTCGAGGCAAAGGAGGCAAAGCAAAGTCATCGGCAAAAGCTAAAACACGTTCGAGCAGAGCTGGCTTACAATTCCCTGTCGGTAGAATTCATCGTCTTCTGCGCAAGGTTTGTCAGTATATTTATAATTTAAGATATGTTTGTCAAATTTATACAAATTGAAAAGTGAAATAGAATGCAACATTGCAGTTGGTGCCGATGTGAAGATGTTTTTCATTGCAATGATTCGTACGAAAACGATATGAGTGAGAAGTTTATTTACAAATCCCAGCATAAGAATAATATCAACGGAAGTCGATAGTTGAATTTATACAGCCGGAAAAACGTATTAGGTGCCACAAAGGTGAACTTACCTAGATAGCATTGGTGTGTGTAGTAGTTGCAAGCCGAGTGGTACAGATAAAAAATCACACATGGATTGGGGATATTATTATAGGTCAAATCTTGAAAAGTATCAAGTGCTGTCAAGTTATGCACAAACGCTATGTCTCAATGGATAAGCAATAATTGTCTTGTGCAAAAATTCGATTCGTGTGGGAAATGTTTTCTTTATGTCTTATAATTTTTATAATTGAAAGTTTTGTGAAAGCTTCAGTTATAAACAACGATTACAGCCTATTTAGATCAGTTTTAAATATTGCTTAGCTCAACTGTTTTTCAAGAGCAAACTATTACTTTTCTAAATTTAGTCTCATTATCGTGAATCATTTCAGGAGAATTATTAATGGGAAATTTAGATAAGCTTATTAAGGGTAATTATGCCGAACGCGTTGGTGCAGGAGCTCCGGTATATCTGGCAGCTGTACTTGAATATTTGGCTGCAGAAGTTCTTGAATTAGCTGGCAATGCTGCGCGTGACAATAAAAAAAGTCGCATTAATCCACGTCATCTACAACTAGCTGTGCGCAACGATGAAGAACTTAACAAGCTTCTGTCGGGAGTGACTATCGCACAAGGTGATTTTTCTCGTTTTCATATTGATTTTTCTTGTTTAATTAATTGTCTTGCAGTGCTGTAAAACACTAAAATAAGTGCTTTGCAGTAATTAAAGATAAAGTCGCGAATTGTTATCACGAAATGGCACTTGAAGTGAAAGTCATGAAAGAATAAAACAGACAGTTTTTATTACTTTATTCATTTTCTAGATGCAAAATGTTACTGATTTCAGGCGGTGTATTGCCTAACATACATGCAGTTTTGTTGCCTAAGAAGATAGCTGGTGAAAAGGAGTAAAAAGAAACTTTGAAGAAGCCATCTCGCGAAATTGATTTTTTTAAATTGTAGCAATGGTTTTTGACAAAATCTTGAATTCTTTATGAAATCGATTTTTGTCAAGTACGGATCCTAACTTTTTCTTTTTGTTATAATTTTATCGGAAAATTTTTCTTCACTCATCGTATTGGTATAATAATGTGTATAATTCTTTTAATAAAGAGATTTCATGAAGGATTTGTTTTTGTTCGGAATTTGCTGCAGAATATTTCACATACATCAGACATCATTGCATGTAACTTTTCGTCATCATTTCTTTTTTTTGCGTGTTTATTTAACTGAATAATAATAGTAGTTGTGGAATAGTATTATTATATGAACAAGGAATCATATTCTGGAGAGAGTCATTAAATTATTAGGAAAGAATGCTGTTTGCAGTATTTCGTTCAAGTCTTGTATTCTGAAATTGTAATGGCATATTGCAAGGAGTAGAGTATTTCAGAGTTCTCTCTGGGATTCTTTTTTTCTGCATTTGGTGGCATGGTATGAAATGTCGCGTCTCGGATTAATTCGTAATCAGATTGCTGAGATAAGTAACGATAAAGCGTTGCAAAATGATTTGAAAATAGTAAGTAACAATAATTTGGACCTGGTCCGCATTAATTTATGCATCATGATTTTATTTTTAAAGCTACCAAACACTTTTACTCTTTTTAACTGAAGTTAGTATGCTCTTTGTCATGTTTTAGTTACCATCAAATTACAATTTTGAAATCCCAAAAACGATATGGAAAATTCGAACTGTAAGAGCCAAAAATGGTAGTTTTTCGTGGCATTTCTTAAACCGTTATCTTCTGTGATTATTAGCTTTAGGAGCAGTATGCTAATTAAATCCACTTAATTTACAGTTTTGAAAAGCAAATGTGCACCATGAACTTTTTTCTTTTGTTTAACTGATTGAATTTTTGAAGATCAGTTTGATTAGCATTGAAATTTTCTTAATTAAGTTGGCATTAAATATTTTGCATTTTTGATAATTTTCTAAAATTTCCACATAAATTTTGAATTTCAGTTTGCTTGCAGTTTCCAGAAGGACTGCTTTTATATTCCTGTGTCATTGCCGATTTACTTTATAAATATACAGGATGTGAGGTTGTTATTATGGGTGACGTGACTTATGGAGCGTGTTGTGTGGGCGATCAAGCAGCTCGTGCATTAGGTACATGCAGTTCAGACTATTTAGTTTATAGAAATTTGTTATCTAGCTTTTTCTGTTCATTACTGTTATTGACAGTCAGTAGTAATTTATTCTAGCCATTTGAGCAGAATCTATATATTTTAGAACCCACAGACAGTTTCAGGATGTGAGTTAATGGTACATTATGGTCACAGTTGTTTAATTCCAATTCAAGAAACACAGGGCATTGAAATGTTGTACATTTTCGTTAGCATTGAAATGAATCTTAGCCATTTTATGGATGCACTGAAAGCTAATTTCGAGAAACACCAGAAACTTGCGTTGGTCAGCACTATTCAATTTGTTCCATGCTTGCAGGTACCGAATTATTATTTTTATAAGTTTAAGAATATCTAAAAAGTTTTTTGTGTTCCAGTTACTACCATAAGTTGTTTTTCATGTAGTAAATTATTAAGACGATTTGTATGGAGTATCTGAGAAAATTCTTACCAGTAATAAGTTCTTCTATTGTATTCAGTTGCTAATTTTAACAGTGCTTTATCGAATTTCAATGGAAACTTCGTTCTTGGAACCACTGTTATATATTGATGAAATCTAGTGAAGTAAAAGAATTTATTTTTTCAGACACTCAAAAAAGAGCTAGGAATGGAAGGATTTACCATCATCATTCCTCAAGTAAAACCTCTTAGTCCTGGGGAAATTCTCGGTTGTACTTCTCCAAAATTACAAGAAGATGTTGATGCACTCATGTTCGTAATTCAAAACATAATATTTCTACTTAGTAGCATTAAAACCTATTTGGTATTTAAAAATTTGTTTTTACAGCTTATGTTATGGCATGAGTAAAAAGAATCAATAACTGGAAATCTCTCTTTGATTATTAACATCAAAGTATATTGCTGTAACATAAAGTTTGAAAATTTTGATGTTGCTTTGACTAATATCAACTTTTCTATGCCAAGACAGTAAATAGTAACTTGCTTATGATTGATAAGCAAATGTCGAAATAAGTCATTAGGAAGGATAAATTTTAGTTTGCAATAAAAACTTCTGATTTTAGATATGTAGGTGATGGAAGATTTCATTTAGAATCAGTGATGATCCAAAATCCGTCCTTTGTCTTTTATCAATATGATCCTTATTCAAAGTAAGTTTCACTTAAAAGTTTTCATGTAATGTTAACTGTTTTCAGTTAGAAGTGTAATAAATTGGCATCGTTTTCTCCAGTGTGTG